TCTCTCTCTCTCTCTCTCTCTCTCTCTCTCTCTCTCTCTCTTTCTGTAAACACTATGATTATTATAAAAGGTAACTTTTTTAATCAATGGATCAAAGTATTCAAAATCATTGAATATTTTGATTCATTGATTAAAAAGATACTTTTTATTCAAATTATACTAACTATGAAATTAAACAAACGTATGAGTAAATAGTTTAAATTTGTTTATATTTAATATTATTTAATTTACAATCATTAGTTTTTTATAGCATTTTTGTCAAGCTTATTAAATATAATTAGAAAAACATCATGTTTGTTTATTTCAAACGTAAATCATTGTAATTAAATTTTAATTTAATTTCTTTGGTACCTGATTAAACAGTTTTAAACACCCATTAATGAAAATATTATAAAATAATATCATAATTATTACAATCCTTTATAAAATTAAACAGTGCTATTTTCTTAAATGATGTATTTATAAATAGAGCTAGATAATTATATATTAGTGTAATAATGCCGGGATATGCTTGCGATCGGTTCCCTGACCTGTCGGCTGAAGATCAGGGCGACTATACTTGTAATATATGTCAGCAAATATTCAACACTCCGGTCACCACAACCTTTTGTCGACACACTTTCTGTGAGGACTGTATCACTCAATGGCTTCAGACGAATACTACCTGTCCTTTTGAGAGGAAACCATTGAGCAAGGGTGATTTGTTACCAGCACCAAGGTATTTTAATATTACAAAGTTTATCATAGCTATAAAATTACATAACTTACTTGATTTTAAAATTAACGTATCTATTAAATACACTGTAACTAGGGTTATGTTAGATAGTTTGGATGAATTTAATATGAAGTGTGACTACTGGGACAGTGGGTGTCGCGAAGTGATCAAACTGGAGGACTTGTCTCAGCATACAGTCAACTGTAGCTATAAGTCGGTAAAATGCTCAAAATGCCAGTGTGCGCTCACATCGGGGCACGACTGTATCGACGCGTTACGGGCAGAGATCGAAGAATTAAAACTAACTCAAAGTTGCCATGCTGATAATAGTTGTGATACTATTGGTGGTGGTAGTAGTAGTAGTGATCATTCAGTAATAAGTGATCGCCATATACTGGCCGAGTGTAGGCGACACCTGTCTGTACCGGAATTGTTGGACACCGGAATGAGCGCCGATTGGACCGACAAAACACTAGCCATAATTAGTGAACAGTTGGCCAAACAAAACAGTCTATACCTGGTGTGCAAGTATGTGGTCAATCAAATGGAGCTCGAGTTTGGCAGCCAATGGCACTGTACTGCCGACTCGGGCCCGGACAGCTCAGAATATTACCGAGTTGACAATGATCGTCATTTAAAAGTAAAATTCACCCCGATCACGTTTAGGGTATTTTATAGCGCTAAAGTAAATATTGTATAAATTTTAAAATTACCGTATTAACCTGATAAATTTACTTTTTAAAATGAAAAATATTAATTATGTCATATACGGTATGTAAAGCTGGATTGGTCGATATTCTTGTCCCGGCTCAGTTTAGACAAAATTGTTTGCAAATTGAACATATTCTACACGGACATGAAACCATCGATGTTACCGGTTGTGTCGCGCATTGTGAAAGGGGTTTTGGTGGATGCGGCCAATCGCCGGGCGCTCAGTATGAAAGCTACGGCTGCCGACATTGGGGCAGATATGGGGAACATATATCCGGGTAGAAAGTGGCAGTGCATTATCTATGGGAATGGCTCGGCTAACTATCACGTGACAAATGCGCCGGGCACTTATTTACATTGTCACGTGGATCAGCTAAGTTTGCTTTTGTTTCAGGTCAAGTCTACAAATTTTAAGTGTTATGATTAATGATGGTTATATTGAATTATTATCCAGGATAACTCTGAATGATTATTATATTAAATGAAACATGTGAATAAATATTTTCACTTTGTGTATTTAGTTTTATTTTTTAATTTGTAACAATTAGTATTTCATTAGATGTAATGAATAATTATTGTTATCGTTGTTTTATCAAGATGATTAAATAAAATGGAAAACCGGTTTTAAGCTATTGTAAAGTGTAAATAATTGTAATTAAACTTTTGTATGGCATACAGTGTAATTAACACAATTAAATCATATCGTAAGTGTAATGTACATTCAGTCCGAAGTTTAGTCTTGTAAACCTAAACTAAATCCAAGTCTTATTTCATTACTGTTGACGTGAAACCTAAAATTTATTGGCATTTCATTTGTTAGACTCACTCGCGTTTACAACAAATATTATTTATTAAAATATGTTTTACGTATTAATTATTTTATGCTTTTATTAATAAACTGTTTAATCAAATAACAATTTAATAAATGCCGGGCTATTCAAGCGATCGATTCACCGATCTGTCGGCCGAAGATCGAGACGAATACACGTGTAGTATATGTCAGCAGATATTTGACTGTCCGGTGACCACAACTTGTTGTCTACAGACGTTTTGCGAGGAATGTATTACTCAATGGCTTCAGTCCAACACTACCTGTCCATATGATAGGAAATCATTGAACAAGGGTGAATTGTCACGGGCACCAAGGTAACATAACCATAATGTACTATATATACAGTATACATGTATGTGCTGTAATAACTAAAATACTTATTAAATATCAGGGTAATGGTGAACACCCTTGGTCGGTTTAATATCAGGTGCGACTACTGGGATGCCGGGTGTCGGGAAATTGTTAAACTAGAGAACCTATCCCAGCATACAGTCAACTGTCGCTATAAATCTGTAAAATGTTCAACATGCCAGTGCGCGCATATATCTGGACACGACTGTATTGAAGCGCTGCGGGCAGAGATTGAGGCATTAAAAATGACAAACAATTATAAAGCTATCAATTATGATAATGGTGGTAATAGTTGTAGTAGTAATGATCAATCAGTACTATCTTATCACAAGATGCTGGCCGAGTGTAGGCGACACATGTCTGCGCCGGAAGTGTTGAACACCGGTATGAGCGCTGATATGACCGACAAAACACTGACCATAATTAGCGAACAGTTGGCCAAACAAAACAGCCTATACCTGGTGTGTAAGCATGTGGTCGAACACATGGAGCTCGAGTTTGGTACCGATTGGCACTGTATTACCGACTCGGGCGGCAATAGTGTCGGATATTATAGAGCCGTCAGTGATCGCCATTTAAAGGTCAAATTCACCCCGGTCACGTTCCACGTGTTTTATAGCGAAAGGGTACATGTTTTATTTATTATTATTTAAATACGTTAGGTTAAAAATTTAATGTAAATCATACTGTTTTTATTTTATTATGTATGAGTAAGTTAATAATGTAAAATGTTATTATTAATTATTATTTAATTAATGTACACAGTTGGATTGAACAGTATTTAAGGCCCGGCTCAAGCATAACAAAATTGACCGCGTGTTAAACATATACAATGGGGATATGAAGTCAGCGATGGTATCAGTTGTGACGGACATTGTGTTTGAGGTGATCGACCGGTACGACAGTATGAAAGACACGGCTGCCGTCATTGAGACCCGCGTGTCGTCTAAATACCCGGGTAGAAAGTGGCAGTGCTTTCTATATGGCAATGGTTGTGCTGACTATTACGTGACAAGTGTGCCGGGCACTTATTTAAATTGTTACGTGGGTCAGCTGGGCCTGGTTATATTTCAGGCCAAGTAAAAGAGATATGATTTATGATAATTATGGATATTATTTTTATCCTATATATTGTAGATTAGAAATAATCTTTAATTAGAAATAAATTTCTAATTTATTATGGTAAATAATATAGTGATTTCATAATAAATAAGTAATAATATAAAGATGATAATATCATATTATGATTATTAATTAAAAAAACTTGGTTGTGCCTACAAATTAAACTTGTTCATTAGTTAGATTAAGTCTTCTATTTTTATTAACCTTAATACTATACATGTACATGGTAAAGGCGTAATTGACATATGTAATTTGTAAAATACCAAGAAAAGGTAAGTATACAGTGTACATGCACAATTTATTTATAATTTATTTATACATTAAGAGATGTATGCAAATAAATCAAACAAAACTGCGATAATTAAATGTTACATTAAATGTAATTTTATTAAATAATATATTTTATTAAATAGGACACAATTAAACAATAAAATAATACAATGAATTCCTCATTATAATTATAACTTCAAATAAATGACCTGTTTATAAATCATTGGTTATTGAATTAAGTCCTTAAAAATGTTTTTAGTATAAAAATGTTTAATAAAGCTCATAACGTAATAATATTATAATTATAATATAACAAATTGTATGATTTCAAAAATCATGATGTAATTCATAGCTACAATTAAAATTATCTTTGAAGTGAAACCTAAAATTTAATAAAAATGACATGATTTTTAAAATATCATTATAATTAAATTATTTACAATCTTTATTAAAAAATACCTATATTATGATTTTATAATGCTTTATTTAATCAAATATTAAAGTCACAATATCAAAATACACATTAAAATCAAGTATAAATTGACAATATTAATCCTCTTTATTAATCCAATGTAAGTAAAGTACACGAAATAAAAGTTACATAAAATTGGGAGATGGGAGTACAATAGGGAGGTGGGAGTATAGTAAAACTATAGAGGGAATAAAAACAAGAAAAATATGTAACGGTGTTTGAGATCAGTTTTAAAACATGTGTTTATGTACAACACATCGCTGCCATCTATGCCCAGACTGTAACCTTTATACGGAAAAATAAGCTAAAAGGGGTATGTTTGTCAAATTGGTTGTTCATTATAAGCCCTTTATCGAGCTATGAATTGCCTCGTTTTAATTACTTTAAATCGTAATGATTAAAATAAATTAAAATTCCAACTTAGTAATATTTTTAATCCATGGTATAAAAGTGGTAACCCGGGTAAAAGCGCTCGGTCTCGTTGCGCAACCTTCATTATGACTAGTGGACGTAATCCCAGTGACCACCCAGGCACCGTTACCCAGCGGGCAATTCAGGGGTCCGCCACTGTCGCCACTGCAGATACCTTTGCCATTTAGTCCGGCGCACAATTTGAGAATTGGATCAAAGTTAGCTAGGTCAAGAAAAAGCGAATGTAATTCATATATATTTTACAAAAATATTTGTTATACACAAAATGACTATTTAATCCCATAGTAATTAGTGATTATATATTATATTCATGATTAACAGATGGCGCTTTTATGGATCAAGTACTATTATCATAATGTACGTATGGAGAGCTCTGAAAGTATTTTAGTTGTACTTATAAAAATTTACATAGTCATATTTTTGAGCATGTTAATACCTTACATCGTAACTTGTTAAAATATTCATAAACACTGACCATATATTGTATATTTATTAAAAGGGAGATTATTTAAATAAAAATTTAAATGTAAAATTAAAAATATTTAATACTGACTTGACCATCCACAGTCTTCATTCTCCACGATTGGTATTTCGACCTGTCGCAATTTGGGTGATTGGCTATCTACATTGCTTATGGTGTCTCCCCAACCGGTGGCCATGCATTCTGTGCCCACACGAATTGTTTGTTTAGCCAACGGTAGACATATTGGCTGGATATAACTATACGAATCACTCAAATCTAACGGTTTATTTAACTTCAAAAGAGCAATATCATTGTGGTATCCTGTTTTAACGGTGTTGTAACCATAGTGAACATAATTCTATATTATAAACAAATTGAATTCATTATGTTATAAATAGCAATCCTTAATACTACTAGCCTCCTTGATTCCGACAGTAAAGTTAGATTCTCGATCATAATCATCATAATTACGAAATTCGACCTCAATGATGCTAGTTTCCTCAGCAAATTTATCAAGACAGTGGGCGGCAGTAAGTACCCATTGATTGCTAATCAGCGAACCTCCACAACTCCAACATTTGTCACGCGCAGTGTTCCATTTACGGCATACATATACATGAGCCATCCAGGGCCACGCGGCCTCCGCATCTTTACCGCCAACGATTTTGGTCGCGCTCATTGATTTGCCACATCGCCGCCGCGATCCACCAAATGCTTCACCCGATACATACAGTAACACTACTGTTAATGCTATGAAAATTTTTATATTGCAAAACATTATGATTAAATAAAATCTACTGATTCAATCTGATTTGTGATCACTCTTTATATATTTTCAAAATTTACCTTAAGTTTATATGTTAATTGTTTTTCAAATGTGCATATGTTTTATAATCATTAATTAATTGTAAGAAAAAAGATTAATTGTAAAAATATTTTTATACAGTTAATCATCTATATAAGTAAATCATTGATTTTGTCAAAAAATAATTTACTGATTATAATTGTAAATTAGATTTCTGTTTAGCAGGAAATTAAAGTGGTCAAATATAGATCTTTTAGAATATAAAACTATATTTATTTAAAAGCTATTTTGCAATAATTTATTATTGAATATTAAAGCGTGGACTTACTGTATCATATGACTACATATACTTATACTAGTTTTATAAATAATTAATTTTAAAGTTTTATCCAGGTTATCTTATTGCTCAACAAAATTAATAGATTTAATATGTTATTTTATGAATTTTCTTTATATTCTATTAATTTAATTTTTATTAAAAACAACATTTGTTTTAGCATAATTAATCAAAAACTTATTTGTGATTACATAAACAAGTTTGTCCATTTCTTGGATTATGCAACTCGGGTAATTATTGTTAATAACTTATAGTCATAAATGAAAGTACAATATTTATAGAGTCAAGTGATATATTCCATATTGCTTTATGACCTATGGTTTGGTGACAATGCCATGATAAATTAACGTAGTGTTGTTATTATTAACCACGTCATAATAAAATCATCTCTCTATCTCAATGCATAATATTTATAACGTTTTATATAATATTTATAAATCATCTCTTTTTATATATGCTTTATTTTTTAAATAATTATATGTATCCGTTTTATATTTATTCTTATTTTGACATAAAATTTGTATTAATTTAGTTTAAATCGTATAAAATAAAGTTTACAAAGTCTGTCGTTAGTTTATGAACATTTTTACATCAATTAAATAACTGTCAAATTGTCAAACCTTTGAAAACACATTTTTAGAGATATATTTATTTAAAAATTTTTGTAACTATAAGGTAATAACACTTATATAATTATTACACAAGGCTGCGTATAGAAATTAAATATGTGCACTTGTTATATTTATTATTCTATTTCCATTAAGTTTATTACTGTATATGGTAAAGACGTAATCGTTTGTAAAATATCGAGAAATGGTAAGTGGAAAGCGTACATGTACAATTTATTTACATTACTTTCAGGCATCCAATTCTAGGACTTTTGATTTTAGGGGAAAGTCAATACACACACCATCTGTGAGTCAATACCAGTCAATACGCGATATCAAGCTTTAATGCAGTCAATGCTTCAACATTACAATAACATTGACTTTTCCCTAAAATTAAAAGTCCTAGAATTGGATGCCTGAAAGTTAACCAATAATATATGCAAATAAATAAAACAAACTGCAAATAATTTGACATTTATTAAATAAAACATAAAATAATACAATGAATTACTCTATAATAACGGCAGATGAGTTGTTATTCGTTCAGTTCAAGTAGCACAATCTATAAATGTCCCAGGAGCAAATAGTATATTTCAAGCAATTTATTATAAAAGTTTTGTTAATGACAATGAAATTAAACAATCATATGAATAAATAGTTTTAATTTTTGTATATTTAATGTTATTGTTTAATTTTTAATTATTATTTTTGCATAACATGCAGTGAAAAATATCATTATCGCTGTTTTTGTCAAGCTTATTAAATAAAATTAGAAAAACATCATGTTTGTTTATTTCAAACGTTGTAATTATATTTAAAATAAGATTTCTTGGTACCTGATTAAACAGTTTTAAACACCCATTAATGAAAATATTATAAAATAACATAATAATTATTACAATCCACTATAAAATTAAACAGTGCCATTTCTTAAATTATGTATTAATTAATATAGCAAGATAATTATATATTTAGATAATAAATGCCAGGATATGCTTGCGATCGGTTCCCCGACCTGTCGGCTGAAGATCGGGGCGACTATACGTGTAGTATATGTCAGCAAATATTCAACACTCCGGTCACCACAACCTGTTGTCGACACACTTTCTGCGAGGACTGTATCACTCAATGGCTTCAGACAAACACTACCTGTCCTTTTGACAGGAAACCATTGACCAATTGTGATTTGTTACCAGCACCAAGGTATTGTACATTTACAAAGTTTATCATAGCTATAAAATTACATGCTTGATTTTAAAATTAACGTACCTATTAAATACACTGTAACTAGTGTTATGTTAAACAGTTTGGGTAAGTTTAATATGAAGTGCGATTACTGGGACAGTGGGTGTCGCGAAATGATTAAACTGGAGGACTTGTCTCAGCATACAGTCAACTGTAGCTATAAGTCGGTAAAATGTTCAAAATGCCAGTGCGCGCTCACATCGGGGCACGACTGTATCGATGCGTTGCGGGCAGAGATCGAGGCATTAAAAATCACTAAAAATGACCATGCTGATAATAACTGTGGTACTAGTGGTTGTAGTAGTACTGATCATTTAGTAATAACTGATCGCCAGATACTGGCCGAGTGTAGACGACACCTGTCTGTACCGGAATTGTTGGACACCGGTATGAGCGCCGATTGGACCGACAAAACACTGGCCATAATTAGCGAACAGTTGGCCAAACAAAACAGCCTATACTTGGTGTGCAAGTATGTGGTCAATCAGATGGCTCTCGAGTTTGGCAGCCAATGGCACTGCACTGCCGACTCGGGCCCGGATAGCTCAGAATATTACCGGGTTGACAATGATCGTCATTTAAAAGTAAAATTTACCCCTATCACTTTCAGGGTATTTTATAGCGCTAGGGTAAATATTTTATAAATGATAAAATTACAGTATTACCTTAATTTTACTTTTTATTATGTATGGGCAATAAAAAGTATTAATTATTTTATATACGGTATGTAGCTGGATTGGTCGATATTCGTGTCCCGGTTCAGTTTAGACAAATTTTGCCGCAAATTAACCATATTCTACACTGATATGAAACCATCGATGGTATCATATGTGTCAGCCATTGTGCATAGGGTCATGTGTGATGCGGCCAATCACCTGTCGCTCAGTATGAAAGCTACGGCCGCCAACATTGCGGCACAAATTGGGGACAAATATCCGGGTCGAAAGTGGCAGTGCATTATCTATGTGAATGGTTCGGCTAACTATCACGTGACAAGTGTGCCTGGCACTTATTTACATTGTCACCTGGATCAGCTTAGTTTGCTTTTGTTTCAGGCCACGTCTAAAAATTTCAAGTCATATGATTAATAATGGTCATATTTAATTATTAATTCTGAATTAAAAATAAATTTCTGATCTAAATTGATTAATAATTTGGTGATTATACATCATACTTATAAATTCTATTTTTAAAAACTGATTTTAAAAAATTTAATTCACTAATAATTTTAATTACACAGTGTGCGAGGTTGTACAATCAATAAATGATCCATGTGCGATTAGAATGTACTCTAGTAAAATCAGCAAAGTGCTTTTGAATTATAAAATTCATTGTAAAATTATTTTATTCAATGAGACATTTGAATATATATTTTTATTTTGTGTATTTAATATTTTTGTTTAATTTGTAACAATTAGTATATTATTAGATGTAATAAATAATTATTGTTATCACTGTTTTATCAAGATGATTAAATAAAATTGAAAACCCGTTTTTTCTCTATTGTAAAGTGTAAATAATTGTAATTACACTTTCTTTGGTAATGTTTAAACTTTAAAGTCTATAGATTAAAATATTACAATATAAATTACAACATAATTTGTTCATAAAATCATACAATGTTATTTATTAAAAATACATTACTGTATCTATTAACTGACACACAGTGTAGTTAACACAGTTAATTCATAGCATAAGTGTAATGTAAAGTTAATCCAAAGTTTAGTCGTGTAATTATAAATCAAATCCTTTTCCTATTTCATTACTATTGAATGTATAGTCAGTTTACTCGTTAGACTCACTCACGTTTACAACAAATATTATTTACTAAAATATGTTTTACGTGACAATTATTTTATGCTTTTACTAATAAACTGTTTAATCAAATAACAATCTACTAAATGCCGGGCTATTCAAGCAATCGGTTCCCCGACCTGTTGGCTGAAGATCGGGACGAATACACGTGTAGTATATGTCACGAAATATTTGACTGTCCGGTGACCACAACTTGTTGTCTACAAACGTTTTGCAATGACTGTATCACTAAATGGCTTCAGACTAACACTACCTGTCCGTATGATAGGAAACCATTGAACAAGGGTGAATTGTCACGAGCACCAAGGTAACATAACTATAATGTACTATATATGCAGTATATATAGAGTATATATTTACAATATATATGCTGTAATAACTAAAATACTTATTAATTGACCAGAGTAATGGTGAACACACTTGGCCGGTTTAATATCAAGTGCGACTACTGGGATGGCGGGTGTCGTGAAGTTGTTAAACTGGAAAACCTATCCCAGCATACAGTCAACTGTCGCTATAAACCTGTAAAATGTTCAACTTGTCAGTGCGCGCATTTATCGGGTCATGACTGTATTGAAGCGCTACGGGCAGAGATTGAGGCATTAAAAATGACTAAAAATGACAAAGCTGATAATAGTTGTGGCACTAGTGGTTGCAGTAGTAATGATCAATCAGTATTATCTGATAATCAGATACTGGCCGAGTGTAGGCGAAACATGTATGCGCCGGAAGTGTTGAACACCGGTATGAGCATTGATATGAGCGTCAAAACAATGGTCATAATTAGCGAACAGTTGGCCAAACAAAACAGCCTATACCTGGTGTGTAAGCATGTGGTCGAACACATGGAGAAAGAGTTTGGCACCGATTGGCACTGTATGGCCGACTCGGGCCGCAATAGTGTCGGCTACTATAGAGCCGCCAGTGATCGCCATTTGAAGGTCAAATTGACCCCGGTCACGTTTGAGGTGTTTTATAGCAAAAGGGTACATATTTTTATTCGCTATTATTTATATACATGTATGTTAGGTTAAAAATTTAATGTAAATCATGCTGTTTTTTTTAATCATGTATGAGTAAATTAATAATGTAAGATGTTATTATTAATTATTATTTAATTAATGTACACAGCTGGATTGGACAGTATTTAAGGCCCGGCTCAAGCATAACAAAATTGACCGCGTGTTAAACATATACAATGGGGATATGAAGTCAGCGATGGTATCAGATGTGACGGACATTGTGTTTGAGGTGATCGACCGGTACGACAGTATGAAAGACACGGCTGCCGTCATTGAGGCCCGCGTGTCGGCTAAATACCCGGGCAAAAAGTGGCAGTGCTTTCTTTGTGGCAATGGTTGCGCTGATTATTACGTGACAAGTATGCCGGGCACTTATTTAAATTGTTACGTGGGTCAGCTGGGCTTGGTTATATTTCAGGCCAAGTCGAAGTGATGTGGATTTATGATAATTATGGATATTATTTTATTATGAAATATTGTAATAATTTTTTTAATTATAAATAAAATTCTAATATAATATGGTAAATAATTTAGTGAGTCAATAATAAATAACATAATATAGATGCTATAATTTATTTATATTTGAAATTTGGCCTAGAAATTAAACTTGTACATTTGATATACAGTATTAATTCTTGCTATTGAACCTATTACTAAACGTGGTTAATTAAAAACGAGAATTCAAGAGTCAATGCAAGAGATCATAGAGTAGAGCCAATAAAATAATTATTTTATTACGCCAACATTTAGTCGACTTATACAATTTAAGGGTGTAAATTTAAATACAAATTATTTAAATTATTATTTTTTAATTCTATTTTAATAATATTTACACAATTTTTAATACAATTTACTCACAATTATTATTATGAATGATTTTAATCGCGTATTCATTTCCATCGCCTTTATGTTTAACTTTGAAAACAGTGCCAAAACATCCCAAACCCAATGCACACAACTCATCGTAAATATGTTTTTATTGAGTTAATTTTGAATGATTTTGATCTAAGCATAATTTTAATGAAAAAATTTATTATAAATTAAGTTAATAACATCACAATTCATACCATCTTTTAATTGTTTAATTATAACAAACATTTCGTTTAGAAAATGTCCACATTTTTCATTAAAATTTTTAAAAGTATTGTAATTATAGTCTTTATAATTACATAAATGTATTGTTTTATAAGTCATTTTCAATTGACTTAAACAGTAATCAAATACATTTGTATAATTAGTTTCACACAAATCATTCGATGAATTAATTTCATATATTTTATCACTGGATATACCGATTACACAATTAATACGTTTATTAAATGAATAGTGTGTATATAAACTAATAATTGGCACTTTAATAGTGGCAAATATTTTGATCACTAATTTATGTATTGAATAAACCTTAATATAATTATATTCTTCGCCACAAAAATACACGAATCCATTGTTTGTTAGAAAATACGTTCGATAGACTGTCGAACACACCGTTTGAATGTTAGATAAATTGTCAATAATTTGTGGTTTGAATACATTAACCGATATATTGTGTCTTAAATGGCAATAATTTCGACCCCAACTAAAGACTCGGCCATCAGTTGTGACGGCAAATGATAAATAATCACAACAATAAACGCCACGTATTTTATATTCAATCCCATTGTCTATAAAATCTATTTTCATTGGAGTTATTACATAGTCCACATTAACGTTTGAGTACTGTTGCCAACTATCCAACTGTCCAAACATATAACCCCATCCGTAGACACAGTCATCTCCGGTG